TTAGACTGGCGCTTTTCTCCAGCAAAACCCTGAGCCGGAAAAAAGCGGCAGTCATGTTCATGCAAATGCCGCGCGGGATATTTAAATCCCCCGCGGCATTTACAATTCTGAAGTGTCTTATTAGCATCCCTTTTCCAGAAAAGGGTGCCAATGTAGACACAGCCAAACTGTATGCCACAAAAGTTGATCTTCTTTAAACTCTCTCAAAGCCCACCTATTTACACACACAGTAAATCATCTACTAATTTCTCATTAAACACCAATAAAATTAAATTCTAAGTAATGATACAAAAATATTATAAACTACCATGTAAGAAACCCCACAATCTTATTTTGTGCATCCCTCCTGCTCATGCTCTGCCCGGCCTTAAGCATTTCCTCTTTCTTGCTGTCTTGCTTTGATCAATTTCCATTGCAAACAATTTAAGCCAAGGCCCATGTTTCTGCTCACTACTGCAAATGCTACACACCAGTATGTTGTTATAGGAGTCTCAAATACTCTTTATAAGAAATCATTATTCAGCACTCTCACAAATGTATCTGGGTACTACAGATTAGAGAAAACATTCTTTTTGAGGTAAACATGACTACATCCCCACAGTATTGTATATAAGAGTCCATATTCTTAGGGATGTGTATGAAAGCTATACATATTTTTTCAAGGCTAAACTGACTCTTAGTGTGAATGCTGAAGGTCTTGTTTATTTTGGCGTTTAAAGAGCTGCAGCACTTGAGGGAGAGGGGCAAGGAAACGTCTACAAGCAGGTTTCAGTGGCTTGTGAATGTATAGTTTCAATTGGTTGAATTAAAGAAGAAAATTTCTTTCTCTGGGACAACAGCCTGCTATATAATGGCTGTACTACTATTATCATCATCTGTAGCTCAAGATACACATTTAAAGAACAGTCTGATATGTATCCCACACCTTTGGGTCAACACTTACTGTAGTTTAAATTTCAGTGCTTGTATTGCTAAGCTTTCACAGAATCCTTCCACAGCAAATTTAGATGCAGCATAAACATCATTGAACAAAATACCTGAAGGCAAAACCAAAATAATTACAAAACATGCTAAGATTATTTTAAGTTTTTGAATGGCTTATATTTCCTAAAATTTTAAGATCATGGAAAAAAAATCCTTGTGATTTATGTTGGGCTAGTTCATCAGTTATGATGCTAAAACACTCCTACTAAATGCACTAAGGTGTCCATACCTATTTTTGGATACATGCTGAACAGTGATTGTTATAGGGAAGGAGACTTGGCCAAGACTCCTTTGCACCCTGGCTATTATGATCCCTAGGTGCCATTGGCAACTAACAAAGGTTACAGCTGCCTTCAAACTGTTCTCTGGTCATAGCTGAGGATTTAGCCCATTGTATTTATGCTAGATATTGTGTGGTTTGATACAGCCTTCTGCATGTATAATAAAATCTGTATCATTTGGCATGGCAGCTGTGTTGCAATGCATGCCAGAGATCTAAGATTTAAAAGATTTGGATTTTTCAATTCCTGGGGACTCAAAGGAGGTAATATAGAAATCCTCTAAGATGGATGGTGAGTATCATGTTGGTCATTAGCCATTCTTAGTAGACAAGGCCTTGACATTCCAACTGCCTACTCACATGAATAATCCATATGTGAGAGGCCCATTAAAGTTCTGGGGCCTAAGCACGCAAGTAAGATTATGCAGGGCAGAGCACCAAATAAGACAACATTATCTTGCAGGTTAGCAGTAACCCTAGGGTGTCCAGTAAAAGAGAAGGCCTTCCAGAAAGGAAATACTAATTTGACAGTCTGGGACAGGGGGGGACTCCAATGGATGTGGTCAAGGACCCACTAATCAAACAATTAGAGAATATTTCAGTGTGGACCTGCTGATCCCATCTTCTAGTTCTTTTTTTGTTTTTTGAGGGGGGAAGGAGGCAGAGGGAGAGGTGTTAGAAGACCAACTTTGCATATACTGCTTGGAATTCTTTCTTGTGTCAGATATGTGAATTACTAACAGATTGCAGATGTGCTAAATCTTTTTTAAAGTAGAATTTTTTTTAAAGCTAGTTTCACAAAATATCTGTGCATACAAGTGTATTAAAATGTTCTTTCCTCCATAGTCCCTTTTAAGCAATACACAGAGACAAGTTTCTATATGAAATTATTTTGTAAAAAGAGCAAAATGCTACTTTCCAGAAAACCCAAACATAGTTATTGTGGGCCTAAATCTGCCAGCCTTGGTTACAAGCAGTAGTAATTTACTATGCGAGTAGAACTATTAAAATTAATCAGAGTACTGACATAATATCATATTACTCAGTGTGAGTAAGAATGGAGAACTGAGGCCTGAGCTTGTAAACTGGAAACAAAAGCTTAATACATTAGATTGCTTACATTTTTCAGTTCAGAAAAATGTGAGCTTTAAATTATGAATAATTACTATATTATAATACTTTGCCTTGTATTCCCATGACACTACTAATTATAACTATATGTCCACTCTTTCTCTTCTTCATATCAGGTAAAATCTCCTTCAAGAGTCGAACCAATCCAAAGAAGTTTGTATCCATCACAGTTCTCATCTCATCTATGGTCTGGCATTCAATAGGTCCAATTAGTCCCATTCCAGCATTGCTAACTGTACAGATACAAAACACAGTAGTGAGTAGTAACTGCAATAAATATTAACTTGGCATTTTTACTGAAACCCACATGGTGGTAAAATTAGTCACTGGAATAAAGGATTAAACATAGGAGAGTCTTACTGAAAGTTTGAGATTACATTTGGCATGGAATGTCTTTGCTTTTACTCTCTCCGGTACATTTTTAAATTTCTACTACAGATGACCATGGATGCTCAGGAAGGGAAGCCTGGCTGGGGCTGCATCAGCCCAGACAGTAGCGCTGCTGTAATATCCTGGGCGGTGGCAGCAGGACCACAGTTATCTGAGTGGCAGCAGCTCCATGATTGGGGTTACCTGCCTCCCATCAGCAGGGCCAGGGCTTTTAGCTGCAGCAACCTGGGAGGAGAAAGTCAGGCCACGCCACAGCAGCCTGATAGAAGCAGCACAGCTGGGGCCACGTGCCACCTTGCAGCGGGGCTAGGGCTGGCCAGCAGGCAGCTTGGCCGGATCAAGGAAACCAGCAGCAGGGAGGGGCAACAGGTTGAAGGGTTGGTGTCAGGGGACCTCCCGTTGTCCGGCAAATTCCCTCATCTGGGACCAGGCAGGTCCCAAGAGTACTAGACCAGGAAGGTCCAACCTGCATTCTGAAATTTTTCTTCCTGATTTATGCCTTATTTTTTTCTTTAACTTACAAAAGAAGAAGGGAAAATGAGCAAAAACTACAATTATTTTCTTTTAGTGCAGTATTAAGAATTAGGGGCCCAATCAAGTCAACAAGAATCTCAATTTACTTCTCTAGATATTTGATCAGGCCTTGCTATGTTTGTAGATAAATTCATGGAGCATATATCCATCACGCTTATTAGCCAGGTGGTAGGGATGGTGTCCCTAACCTCTTTTTTACAAGTTGGAAATGGGAGACAGAAATGGAATCACTTGATGGTTACCTGTTCTGTTCATTCCCTCTGGTGCACCTGTCATTGGCCACTGTCAGAAGACAGGATACTGGTCCAGATGGACCTATGGTCTGATCCAGTATGACTAGGGGATGGTTTTGATCTGCTTTGTGTTTAGCACCTCATAATGTCAGTTTATTTAAAAAAATGAACTGGCATCTGTTGAGAATGAGATCTTTATCACTATTTGGTGGGCAAAAGGAGATTCCATTTCAGTGCTTGTAATTTCAGATATGCAGAATGGTTATGTCATAATATGAGCAATCTGTAGTAAGAAGTGGAATGCCAGACTGGAGCATACTGTAATTTTCAAGAAAATCATCCTAATTTGCACCTGCCTGTTCTAATGCTCCCCTAACTTCTCCCCCACAAAGACAGGCTCTGTTTTCTCTTAGCCAATATTTAAAAGCTGAGGGTATAGTTAGTGGACATATTATAATTTGTTTACAAAATATATCACAGATCATTTATTAATAAAGTATCAGATAAAATGGAATTATAACTTCTTATAAATTAAACGTGCATTTTATGATGGATTAGTCTCTCTCTCATTTGCTTATTCACCTATTTGCTAAGTCACAAAGTATCACCCTATTGTCAGTGCCAATAAACAAGGGTATACTGTGTTCAGGGAGTAGAGGTGGTCTTAGTTCTCAAGTGCAAGATGGAGAACCATGAAATCCAAATTTTGTTCTCAACTTTGCCACATGATTTTGTAGAAGTCATTTAGTCTTTTTGTGCCTGAATTCAATTGAGAACCTTGAATGACTTTTATAGACCTGTACAATGTTATTGATTTTATTGCTATATTTATACTTAAATCCATGTACATGTTTAGAAATAATAGTATGCTATTGAAACATCTCTAAAATATAAGTGTCTTTAAATTAAATATTGTATTCTGATTTTTCATTCAACTTTCATTTGTATTCAGTACTTGCCTAGGATATCAATCCTTCTGTCTGGGATGCTACTGACACAAGTTTTAATAGACTCTTCACTGCAGACATCCAGTTGTTTAATATCCAGGGTTTTACCCAAGGTGTTGCCTGCAGCTTCTACAAGTTTGTCTTTCCTGGTCAGATTCCGCATGGTAGCATACACTGCAAAGTTTCATAAATAAGTAATCAGAAATGTAACTACAGAGAAAGCTTGTTCTTTGAGAATGACAGGAGACACAAGTTACAGTTCATACAACCTTTAAGTCCATATTTTAGTGCTTAGATATCTTGGTGATAGGACCTTGAGAACAACCTAAAATAAAGAGAATGTATTTTAAATATTTATATATTGCTTCTAACTTTCCTAAGTTAGAGTTTGGGAAAGAGCGACTAGAGAAATAAAATATTTATACAGCCATGTTCATAGCTATATGTTTTTATTTTTGTATCAGGGAAGGAAGGTGTGTAGAAAAACTATTTCCAAGATTTTCAATAATGGGTGCCAGAAATTAGGCTCCTAAGTCCACATTTAGGCACCTAAATAATGAGTTAGAAGCCTATCTTTAGGAACCCATTTTTGAAAATCACAGCCAATGTGTTTAGAAAAGCAACCAGAATTTTACATGAAAGTGAAACAAATTATTACTCAGACTGCAAAATTGCTGGGTTTTGCAAGATATTTATCAAAGTATAGATGAGCTTTCATATTACTGCAGCCAAATTACTCTTGCTTCCTTAAATCTATGCAATTGTTCCCTTCTGAGTAAGACAATACTTGCTGAGAGTAAACCTGAACTGAATTGGTAAGTTCATTTAGTCAGCTACATATAATTGCAGCAAATATTTCCCTTTTGTAAGGTAAACATTGGAACCAATTTTCCCCCTCCTCCTTCATGGCAGTAAATACAAGGAAGAAATACTGAAATCTGCCCTTCAGAAACAAATTGCTAGCTTAATGAAAGGCTCCTAAACCCAAGGTTTTTCCCACCTAAAATTAGCAATTGCATTCACACCAAGATTTTGCTAAGAGTCAAGTAAAGCTACTTGCAGCTGTGTGAAGGACTAACCTGTAAAAAAGTATGTTTATTTAGCATGCTGCAAATCGTCTTTTTTAATTTTAAAAGTTTCCGTTTTTATATCACTGCCACATTTATCATCTGATAATTTCAGATAAACATGTCATTTCAGTACAGTCACAGAATGACCATCTGTTCATAGTAATAAGTATATTTGATTGCATTGTATCTTCCTGTCAGGAAAGGGAGAATTATTAAGAGTGGAGGAAAAAGGGAAGTTAAACAGAATTCAGGTGCACACAGATGAAAATCTATACATTGTGAGATGCCCAGACCTTAGCGCAGTCCATTTTGTCATACCACAAAATGAACGTGACATGGAAGATTCAGTACTGCCTGATATTTAATTTCAGAAATACCTTTACCTTTAAATCTTTTCTGTTCATCTCTAGCCATTTTTACAGCCAAGGCCAGTCCAATTCCTGAGGAGCAACCTGTGATGAGTACAGTCTTTGGAGCCATTATTTTCAGCTGGATGGCAGCAGATATAATAGGAAGTCTTGTTACTCTGCTGAACAATCACCTCAATGTCATGGCTACAGATTATTGTTACTGGTCCTTTATGCTTTATCGCTTCACTGAGCCAACAAAACTGAAAAATGCACACCTGGACATTGTATGATTAGGGGGATAATCTCCAGATGGCCACTAATAGGAGTAGATGCTTCTGCATGGATGCATAATCTGGATCAGAGGCTACTGTATTTACAGCAAAGCTAGGCAGTTGCCTAGGGCAGCAGATTTGACGCGACCACCCTTCTGTCAGGATGGAGGGTGACAGGGCTGAATCTGAATGGCACAGGGGATAGCACACTGATGTTTTGCTTAGGGTGGAAGACTGTCTTGAATGGTCTCTTATGTGGATAATCACTGTACAATAGATTCAATACCAAAATTTCATCCATTTTTAAATTTTGCAAAACATTTGTGCTAAAAAGTTTTAAATAGTTAAGTAATTAGACCATGGATATCTTGGGGGAGGAGGAGTTCACCATGTCTTGCTGTCATAATCCGTGGCCTCTATCACAGCCCCAATGAGGGTATACTTACCAGTCATGCACAAGAGAATGAAATCATCCCCACAGTCACAGGTCAACTATCCACCCCTAATCTGCTGCAGGGTACAAAGGGTACACATAGATCATAGCTCCCTGCTGTTCAGGCTTCCTCCCTGTTCGTTTGTGTAACAGGACCACATTTATTATAGCCAGATTTCACCTGAGCCACAGAGGTGGGGGTCAGATTTGTCCCTCAAAGAGGCACAAGAAGATTTAACCACATCTTGGATTTGGCCAAATGACAATGTATAATTGAATGTTTGTAACTAAAAGTCCTAATAGAATATCTGGAAGAAGTAAAATGGAAACTGGAGTGTGGCTTTGAAGAGAGACAGAAAGATGGTGAAACACTCTTCAGAGAGCTTCTCCAATGCCTCTGCTCCCATTCAAAACATTTTACTGTTTTTCCCTACTTTTGCAGTTTTCTCTTATTTTCCATTTGCCTCCTTTCCCATCAGTTTCCAATGCTTTTACCTTTCCTTTTCGTAAATTTGTATATTTCTATTGATTTATAACAAAACATATGGTAATTATCATATAGAGAAAAGCTTAATTTACACATATAGTCACACATTTAAGTCATTCACTAAAATATAAAGGTTACTTACCTGTAACCAGAGTGGTTTGAGATGGACTCTGTCTACTCACACTCCTGGAACGTGCTGACTTAGAGAGCGAAACTTAAGCAATGATAATTGGAATGGTCCTTGGTCCCCTTTCTCGCTTCCCTCGATGTTTGCCAACATACTGAGGCCAAAGTTATAAAGCAAGGGCAATAGTTCCAACCACCTCAGTTTCTCTCACTGCTTTGTCATGTTCCATTTAGAAATTAGGATTCCAAGGAAGAGGATAAGACAAGCAGGGAGTGTGAATATGCACAACAAATCTCAAAGAACTCCAGTTACCTTCATTTCGTCCTCAAGCAAGCGGTCTCTGCCTATTTCCCACTCATGGGATAGTTTAGCAAACACTAATCTCATAAGGTAGAACATGGAATCCTAATTCAACAGAAAGTGAAAAAATGACATGCCAAATTTAGCATTTGACTTGTATACCAAGTAGAATAGCATCTAATGAAAGTATGAACAGTACCCAAAGTTTCAGCTTTACATATAGTAATAGCCATATCTTACAAACTAATCCTGGATTGAGGAATTTAAAACGGAAAGGTTCATAAAATTAAACACCTCAAATGTACAGTAAATGTGGTGCATAAGTTGCAACAGAGTGCACTGCATCATTTACTCATCTTTCAAATCATTGCATAGCAATTTCCAGTGAACTGATGGCATTGCAATGTGAAGTGATGACTTGTTCATTAACATCAGGGGTGGGCAATAATTTTTTTACCAGAGGCCACTTCAGAAATTTTTGAAATGACCCCGGGCCCACCCCGGAAGGGGTGGGACCTCAGGCAGAAGGGGCGGGACCAGGACACTTCCATGCTTCCCCACCTACAAACCCTGATTGGTCTGGGGATAGGAGAGTATGCAAAGTGTTTTTCCAACCCAGAAAGAACCATCAGCTGTTCTGAACAGCTGACAGTTCTCTATAGGTATCATCTCCCACTGCCAGGGATACATTCACGTGCTTCCCCCCTTCTGCCCCCAGGTCAATCAGAGCTTGCGGAAGGGAAGTACATGAAGTCTCTCGCTCCCGCTCTACAAGTGAGTTCCATGCTTAGAGTCAACCACCAGCTGAGCAGCAGCTGGTGGTTGACTTTAAATGCTGAGCCCCTTGCAGAATGGCAGGAGACTTCACGCACTCTCTCTGCCCCCAACCCCTGACTGGCCTGGGGCAGGTGCAGTGCACAAAGTCTCTTCCCACCCTGCCCCCAGTCTGCAAGGAGCGTGCAGCGCTTAGAAGCACCATGTCCCTCTCAGGGCAGGAGTGCGTGGCACTTTTAAGCACTGCGCACACCTTGCAGGGCGGGGGCAGCGTGGGAGGAGCATGGCCTGGAGGCGGAAGGAACAGCAGGGCCTCTATGGGCTGGATCAATTTGCCTGGCGGGAAGGATCCAGACTGCAGAGGCCCTTTTGCCCATCCCTGCTCTATCCTCATCAGTGAAAGAAGAGCCACGCCCAGAGGAAGGAATGAAAGTAAAGAGATTTCCA